CTCTTCTTAGTGCATTCTGCTCTTCCAAGGCCTTGGGGAGGAGCTGCTGTTTGTCATCCCAGGACCTGTCAGCAGTGGGCTGGAGCATAGCAGCTTGCAGGACCTGACCACCCCAACAGGAATCCTTGTTCTGTGGTCTTCTTTCAATGGGCTACAGTGACAGTGGAGATGGATGGAGGAGGTTTGTGGCTCTTGACTCCTTTGTCCCACTGCATTTGGAAGAACTCACTGGAGGGCTAGTACTGATGATGCTGGAGATACCCTGGTCACAGTTTTACTGATGAGACTGAGCCCTGTTACTTTCTGAAGACTGGGATTTTTGCTTTGTCTTCTTTTCCCACAGACACATCCAGCTCCCATTTTGTTCGCCTATTTATCTATCTATTTATTTTTCTTCCAAGGTCATTTTCTTCTGTTCCCTGGATTTCAGAGAGCCCTTCCATAATCCATTAAGTAGTTTTCATCATCTTCAGGAAATGATGACCCCTCTTAATGCACCAAGACTTCTCTGCCCCTTCCAGCCCAACTTTCTCCGATGCCCACGGACATGAGCCATGTGGGACACTGTGCATTGCATCCTCCAAAGCAAACAGCTCAGGTGAAGGTGGGACTGATGTAAGGAGCTGGGGTCAGCCCTGACCTGCCCAGCCCCATGCACTGAAAGGCTGTGCCACCTCAATCCCACTAGACCAGACAGAATTCTTTTGGGCTGTGTTTCTCGCTTAGGGCATGGAAGTTAGAGCAAGAAACCAAGCTGGCAATGGCAGCTCCCTGTTTTCCCCCAGGTTTGATGTTGCATGGTGCTCTGTTGGATGCCAGAAGCCCATCTGGGATTTGCCCTGTGGGAAATGTTCTCATCCGGGTGCAGCTCCGTGGTGCTGAGCTCTACCAAGCAGTGCATGTGAGCAGCGATCTGCCCGCGATAGCACTCACGGAAATGCGACACACGAAATAAAATCACTCCCCCGGGCTGGGAAGGGACCCAGAGGTTTCCAGAAGTTCATTCACCTCCAATTATCAGCTCAGAAAACTGCAGACAGCTGCATTTCATTCCCCAAGATATTGAAAAACAAATAAATCAAGCAGAGAGCACTGCCTACCTCTTCTGCCTTTTTCTAGCCCAGTTCTTCTGCAGTTGAAAGGATGATGTTAGCAGAGCACGCTCCCGGAGCTGGCCCTGGACAGGTTTGCAGAAGTATGCAGCAAGAGTGAACCAGTTCTCCAGAGGGAACAGTGAGTGCACGTCCCTCAGTTACACATGAGCTGGGCGCAGCTGGAACGTGAGCGGATGAATGGAAGCGCTCTGACAAAATCTTGGGCTAGCAGGTGTCAGTCAATATTTATTTAACTGCAAAATCAGGAGGCAAATCCTTAAAACAGGGCATGGAGAGGCTGCTTTCCCCAGGGCAAAGCCCTGTAGTGGGTTCAGCAGGTGAGAGCTGGCCCAGACCTGAACCTGCACTGAGAGCAGCTGCAGGGATGGTTTCCAGACTCAAGTTCTCCTGTCGCACCCTGCTTCCCACTTTTACAGCCTTGGGGGGCTGACTGTGGTTTTTCTGTCTGCACCCAGCGGGGACTTTCTGAGCTCTCTTCACCTCTGCAAACGTTTGTCCTTCCCATACCTGTGCTCAGCTTTATAGCAAAGGAAATGAAAGCACTCTCTAATAAAATAATTCCTTGCACCCAGAAGGCAGGCACTGGCTGGGCTGCAGCCAAACCTGGGCAAAAGCTCCAAGGACTTTGCCCAGCATCAGTGACACTGGCTAATTCTACACAGGAGGTGAGAGGAGAGGAGCAGAAGAGGGGAAAACCTTCTGGCACAAGCCAAGCTCCTTTTCATGGGCACAGAGAACATAGATTGCTCCATGGACCACAGAAGTATGCACCCACAGCCCTGGCTCACACTGACTGAGTCTCTCCATCACAGTTTCTTCAGGAAATAGCTTTCTATTGGCACTTCCCACCTGCTTGCAGGGCAGAGCTGCACGGTGTCCCCCACAGACCCTCTGGGGTCATCTGTGGGGCACATGGGATGGGATGGGGTGAGGATGGAGGAGCTGAATTTCTGCATCTGCCTCTATGGAGCCCTGCAGTCCAGCACAGCCACAGCACTGCCTGCCCTGGGGGAGCACGAAGCCCCGCCCACTCACACAGCAGACCACGCCCACAAACACAAGCCCCGCCCATTTCACGGGCCCCACCCCTTCTCCAAGCCACGCCCCCTTCAAAAGGCCCCGCCCCTCCTGGCTCCATGCCCCACGTGTCTGTCCACAGCTAATGGTGAACCGTGCCCACGTGGTGTTTGCTGTTGCTCAGGGTGAGTTATGGAAAATCAGATAAAAAGAGTTAAAATCCCAACTGCTGCTGCTGGGGGCACACGCGTGGTGGGGCTGCGTGGCATGGAAACCTCTGCTGCACTGAGCCAATGCCTGGGCTGATGGGCTCTGCCATGTGTGGGTGAAATTTGGTTTGTGCTCACGCTGCTGAGGACTGAAATAGGAAAGATTTGGGGTTTTTATGGGGGGATTTTCTGGGAGGTGGCAGCTCAACCTGGTAGGATGTTGCCTGCCCTGCGGGGTGCCAAGAGGGGAGCACCTTGGGGAACGTCCCACCTGCTCCAGGCTCCCAGCCCTGGGGTCATCCAGACACACTGGGTACATTTCCCCTCCAAACTGTTCTGCAGGCATAGTGAATTTCATAGTGGGTTTCCTGTTCTTTTTGTAGAGCACGGAAGCAGATCTCATTGGATCTAGCCTTAATGAGAGTTGGGCAGGACTGCTGTTGTTGACTGATCCAATATTTTCTTCACAACGTGTGTCTGGTTTCTTTATTCTGATCTGAGGCATCCCAGCAGATTTCAAACAGGCTGCAGGGGGAGCAGGGATGAGCACAGAGAACAGTGAAGCTGTGCTTTGTGCATACATGGGAACAGCCCGAAGGCACCAGCACTGTGTGCGCAGACCTAGGGTGCCTCAGCTGTGTGCTGCCCCAGCAGTGAAGGAGGAGGTGCCCTGGGGATGGCCATCTAACACGGTGCTGGATGTCCCCTTGTTTATATCATCCCTTTAGGGATCTGCTGTCCCTGCTTTGAATCCAGAGGCAACTCCCATCTCTGCAGCCTCCCAAGGCAGCGTAACACAGAGGTTCTCTGGTCCCATGGCACAGCACAGAGACAAGATTTCCCTCCTCAGAGGCCCTGTGATGTTGGCTGGGCTGTGTCAGGGTGTGCATTTGGTGTCAGCTTCCAGTGAAGCCTTTGTGAGCAGCATTTCCCAGTGCTGGGACTGATTTGCATTGCACACATAAATGCAGATCCCACTCAGCCTCTGGGTAGCACTCAGGCATTGATCACTCATACAGTGTACTGCTCCCACTCTGCTGCTGGGCTTCTGTCTGCGTGTTCAGCTTCAGCCTGTTAATCCAGCTCTGCCTTCAGTTACTATTTACCTCTCTGACCCCTACAGCTCAGACAACCAGACCCAAGCTCTGCTGACCCCTGCCTGGGCTATTGCCCTAATCTTCATCTGGGCAGTCTTCATCTCCTGCTGACCCCTACCCGTGCACCCCTTCACACCTGAGGGGTCCCTGGGCAGACCCCAGCACAGAGACACAGACCAACCCATAGCCTCAGCCCTCCTGGTCTGCCTCCTGTCACACCCCAGGACAGCCAGCTCCCCTCCCGCAGCAAACACAAAGCACCACAGCGGCAAGGTGAAACCCTTGAGATATTTCTGCTTTAATTAAATCAAATATTCTTGTTATAAATAACCAGCATGGAATCCTGTTACATTTCTGATCTCAGTGACTCCTTATCCCATTGATACTTCACCAGCTGTCTCCTTGGTTGCAAGATGTGCAGCACAGGACCCCACTCTGTGTCCCCGTCCCTCATACTGCTCTGTGATTTCTTCCATCCCAGCCCTGCTGCTCACCTGCTTTTCTGGCTGCAGCTCATCCTTGGGCAGGAGCTTGGGGTGAGCCTGTGCCCACTGCAGCTGAATCAATAGAGAACCAGCCTGGTGCCAAGCCAGCACCGAAAATAACAGCAGAGCACTGCTCAGAGGGATGAATGACTGAGGAGCAGGAGAGGTTTACTGGGTCTGCTGCCAGACCACGCACCTCCAACACCCCACTCACCAGCTGGCACCAGCAGGAGACACGTGTGCACTGCATGGAAACACAACTCAGGGCACAGCCAAGCTGGGTCAGCAGGATGTGTTCCTCGAGCACGTGCATCCTGTGCCAGCTGCGGGCCAGAAGCTGCCTCTGCTGCTCCCCATCATACAGCACTGCCAACCTTACCCCCATCCTGGGGTGGTGTCCCAGCCATCATGAAGCTTTGAGCTATGGGCTCTTTGGGCCATATCTGCAGACCAATCTCTGCTTTCAGTGGGTCTCCTGTGTTATCTGGAGCTCCCAGCATGTCTGTGATGGCAGCTCCTGAGGGATGCGGCATCCAAACCAAAAGGAAGTTGTTCTGTGCTGATGTCCACTGTCCTAATGCAGAGCAGGGTGTTGCAGAGCAGTACACCTTTACCAGCCTGTCTTCATTCCCAGGAATGTCTCACTGCTTTAAGGGGGTGATCCATGGGAGGGGGTGGGAATGCTGCGTGGAGGTGCAGCTGGGGTCTCCTCTCCTGTGCCCCTCTTCTGCCTCTGATCAGCATCAAGCCGTGTCCTGCCCGCCCCTGGTGCTGGGTTCTCACCTGCATGGGGTTCCAGGCACTGAGCCACAGCTCGCTGGGCTGAGGTCTTGGGATGTTGTGGGAGGTGAGCTGGATCTGAAAAATCAGAGTCCCACTCGGAGTCAGGGGCAGAATATCATGCGCCCAATTATATCAACTCCGGTTTTGTTGTTCAGACTGAGAGTGGTTTTTCAGACTGGGAATTTTCATTTCAGGTGGAACTGTGTGAGTGCTGCACCCTGAGCACAGAGTGAGCTCCAGCCATACTGCTCCAGCCATACTGCTCAGCTGCCATAGCAGATCTGCACTGGGGAATTCCTGGCCGTGGAACCCATGTCTGATCTTCCCAAGCTTTGGTGACATGTGTTGCCCATCCTGGTGGCCTTTGCTGTGAAGAGATCTGGGACCACGCTGTCCTGCTGCCCCTCTCTGTAACTCTGGAGATACCTCCTTGGACCTTCTATTTTCCAGACGTGAAGCCCAGTGCTCACAGCACCTTTACCCACACCGTGATGAGTTGGCTCCTCTCCATTGCTGTGCCCTACAAAAGCTGCTGACAGAGGCTGCCAGAAGCTCTGCTTTCCCCTTCATGTGTTGGTTTGGCCATTGCATGGCACATGTTGGGTTGGCCACTGCATGGTGAGGTGATGTGGGGCACTGGGCTCACCATCAAGTCCTGATCTCTTTTTTTCTGGGGCTCCCTGGGCAAGATACAAAGTTCACTTTCATGCTGGGGACGGTACAGCATGTTCTGTCTTATAGGGAAGGGACTGGGATAAATTCCTCTAGGAGAGTACACAAGAACACTTCTTTTCACGGCTAATGTGAGGAGTGGGGTGGGAGCCTTCCTGGGAGGTGCTCAACGGTTGAAAAAGAAGGACCTGAGGCTCTGCAGGAACTGTGACTTCTGCCTCTGCTTCTGCTTCTTGCGGATGATGGGGATCCAGACGAGGCCACAGACAAGGAGCATCAGTCCCATGGACAGGAAAGCAGGGCCGCACATTTTGTACACCTCACTGTTCTTGATTTCAAAGCACGACAAGGTGGTAATGACTGTCCCGAAGAGGAAGATGGCTGCTCCGACGGACATGACAATGATGGGCTTGTGGTAGATGTCCCACTTGCTCCTGGAGGTGTTGGTCCAGACAGACTCACTGCGGGAGCTGATGCACAGTGTGCTGGCCGTGTTGCTGGTCAGCAGCTCCTTGGATGGGGGGGACTTCAGGCTCCCATTAGGGCTCGGGGGGACGTTTTCCATGACAGCAGGATCTGAGGAGACCTAGGGTGGACAGAAGAGAAAGAGCAGAGGACTGGTGCTGGAGGATGGACTGAGTGCTGTCCATCTAGTCATCAATGAGTGCATTGGCCAAGTTAAAAATTGGGGAAAGCTTGGTGCCTTGCTGCAGGGAGAGAAGAGCATCACACCTCTATGAGCAGCACATTTAAGGACAGGCGACTGGATCCTGCAGGGAGGAGGGCTGCCTGCTTTTTGTGGGAGTCCCACTGCCCACCCCACCCCTAACTTTAACCCCTACCCCAGGGCAGATCACTTCCTTAGAGCTTCTTTACCCAGAGGTGATGAGGCCCTGGCACTGCTGCCCAGAGCTGTGGATGCCCCATCTCTGGAAGTGCCCAAGGCCATGTGTGGCCCCTGGGCAGCCTGAACTGGCTGGGGTGGGAGGTGGAGACAGCCCATGGCAGGGGTGGGTCTGGGGAGGCTGCAGGAGGAATCTCAGCTCATGCCAAATGCTGTGCTGTGCTTTGCAGTGCTGGGGTCAGCCCTGCGGCTTTCTCAGGGGCCCTGCCCCTGCATTAGATTTTCTCCTACTTGAGGAGGAAATGCATTTTCCCAGAAACAGCATGACTTTAGCATGGGGAAATCATTATGATAAATGGGAAATGCAGTGCATTATGTTAACCACTGTTTCATCGGAGCAGGGGAAAGCAGGACGTGGAGCTGGCAGGGAGAGCCCGCAGGGTCCAGCGTGCTGCAGGGCTGGGCATGCTGAGCTCAGCTCTGAGCACCGTGCAGGCTGTGAGCCTGATGCTGATCCAGAGCAGTTCATCAAAAACCCTGCCCAGGCCCTCAGCCACAGCAGGCTGAGAGCTTGCTCCCAGGAAGACGTGCACCACGGGTGCTATCACATTGGGTTTGCAGGTCTGCATCCTGCTTTGGCTATGGTGAGGTGCAGAGGAGATGAGTCCAGAGCCTGGTGCCTCCAACCCATTTTCTGCTGCTGCTGCTTGATGCTAGGGTTTGCAGCACGTTGGTGCAGGCACACACAGCTACAAAACTGTGGAGGAGAAAATCTTGGGAAGAGAGTCACCAGAGGCCATAGCAGATCAGGGTGGCAAGATGAGTCCCCTGCTCTGCCCCATCTCTGCTGGTTTGTGAGGTCCTAATGATCCTTATTTGGGCCATTACCAGCAGGTAACCCCTAGCTGGGCTGTGCTGGGCCCCCTGCCCACCCCAGGGTGCTGACATCTCCCTTATTTCTTTCAGTCGTGTTCCTTTCCCAGGTTTGTGGTTTATTCTGATGTAATTTTTTCTGTTTATCCCCACTACCCACTCAAGCACTGCTGCAGAAATGCAAACCCAGTGGCACTGACATATTTTGTGCCATTTCAGATTTACAAAAATTGGACCAAGAAACATAAAATAAAAGCAGAGCTCAGTGCTTGTATCCCTCTCATCTGCAGCTCTCCCCTACTCTGTCAAACCAGCAGAGATGGGGCAGAGCATAACCATTTTCTGGCATAACCATTCCTCTCACCACAATTTTCATATGCTGATCATTTTATAGCACTTTGCATGAGGTGCTACGTAGTTCCCTTCTGTTTGCTCAAGAAAGGTTTCACTCTCTACACGTGGCCAGGAGTTTGGTTTCAAGCTCTGCATGCATCTGCAGCTCTTGGGAGAGCTAATGTGATTTCAGTTCCTGCTCTGCCCATACTCCATCCCTAATTCATCCCAGATGTGCTCACATTGGAAGATGCGTGATGCTCATACTGAGCAGCCCAGCAGGATAATGCTATCAGGTTTCTCCCACATTTTGAATAATTATTGTTGTAAGGAGAGCATCCGCAGATGACCATTTGCTGCCTTGCAAATGCCTCTAGAGTAGATCTCAGATATCATGGCTGGCTGCTGCTGCCCCAGCTCCTGCAAGCAGTGCTCATACTGGGGTCTTTATCCCTGACAGAAGGAGGAGTGATGCTTTCTCCCCTTTTGCTCTCCCAGTGCTTTGCATGCTGATGTTTGAGGATCCCATTTGCTGAGGACCCCAATAAATCCATTTACAAGTGATTTAATTTTCCTGCCCATCTCTGCATTCACACAGGGGCAGCTCTCTGCTCTGTCTGCAGCCACAGAGACCAAAAATCCTCCTGACACCTCTGAGTCTGAGAGCAGCACATGAGCAGCCAGGACCTGGGGTGCCACAGCCAACCTGCAGATAGGGACTGAGCCCCTCGGAAGTCCCAAGGACGTGCTAAGGCTGGATCTAGTCCCACAGGTCCCCAGCCTGCCCATCTCCTTTTCCCATGGGGAAGTAGCTCTGATTCTTCAGGAGCTTCTTACACATTCCTCTTATCAGTACACCTAACTGCTGCCCCTGTTCCCTTCAGGAGCAGCAGAGCATCCCCAGTCCAGACAAGGACATTTTTGGGGCATGGGTTTTCCTGATGTCCTGGGGTGCCTCAGTCTGACTCTTGGCTGTGCCCGCTATACAGGACCCCCCAGGGGACAACTGTGGGACCATGTTTGCTGGGACAAGGAACCAGATGCTCCAGAGGGCCCCCGTGGGATGGTGGGGTGGCTGGGGAAGGAGGCTGCGTGGACAGGCACATGCAAACTCTTAGCAGAAACTTGTCGAGATGCCATGCCACAGCCAAATTTAATTCAGCATCTATCAATCAGGTTCAAAAGTAATCAGACTGAGGTGCATATCAGTGAGCCAGCATCCCCAGGGCCCTCCCAAAATGAGGAGGGTGAGCAGTATGAGACTTCCATGGCCAGGAGGGCTCAGGAGCACCCAGCGGAGGGGCAGGTGGGGGTCACACAGGGGACCTGGGGGGACCGAGCGCTGACTCACCATGCTGAGCTCTGCTCCTGTCTGGCTGCACTGAGCATCCCCCGATGCAGCAGGGAGATCAGGGTGCTCCACCTCCCATTGCCATGGGTCAGCACAGGGAGGAACAGATCCCGTTGGTCTCAGCAGGCTCTGCTCTGGGAGAAGATGGAGGTGTGTCAGCACAAAGCATCCTACAGCCCCATTCTCCTTCCTGCCTTTCCTGTGCCTTACCATGGCTGGTGCTGGCCCTGTGGACAGGCTGTCTCTGCTCTGAGAACAGGGTTGGGGAAACACGGCTTGGTGGCAGGACTTCACACACCTCCTCCAAGCCCCACCACATCCGGGATGTAAGCCAAGCTGGAGACAGTGTCCATTTGCTGGTGTGGTGGGGCTGGGTTGGGCCCAACCTCCTGCATCCCTTGGGAGCAGATTCTCAGCATCGCCCGTAGTTTGGCTGGCCCCACCGATGTGCTCAGAGCCTTGATGAGCAAAGAGCACTCCTGAACCCCTTTTTGGAGCTCAGCAAAAGGACCCTCACCCTTATTATGCTGCATCCACCACCCCAGAACCAAACCCATGGAAATCCATCCTACTTACATGGGGAGGGCGGACGATGGCTGCCCACCACCGGCGGTGGCACAGATGGAACGGCTGCAGCAGGGCACCCTGCCCTCCTCACCCAGGCTCACCTTCAGCCCTGCAGCCCTCCGGATGTTGTCTACTGGGCTCTGTTGAGTCTAATGAACGGTGGAGCATATCCCAGCTCTGATGAGCTCACCAGCCCATCAGGATATTGGTTAACTCTTTGTTTCCCCGCCTTGGGCTCTGACTTATAGGCAGCTTGCCTGCAGGGTTTGCTAAGAGGCCGCAGCTTGGAGGCAGTCCAGTGGCAGAAGGAGCAGGGTGGGTCAGTTGCTGGAGCAGGGCTGGGGATGCTCTCCCAGGCTTTGAGCACCAGCAAGTCCCTGTAGCTGCTCTGTGGTTGCTGTGCTTCCAATCAGGGGATGGTAGCCAGTGTCTGCAAAATACTTGGAGGCTCCTTGCTGAGACATTTGATAGATGCAAGACATAAGCAGTTAGCTATTAATTAACATCCTGAACTCATTACTAGGAGAGGGAGGGAAGATGAATACACGGATATACTTTAAAGCATTCTTACATCATTGTGCATCCACCTGCTGCAGGGAAAGGATCCAGACTGACACAGGCATTGCTGGTGACCAGAAGCACTGATGGGGCTGTGGCCATCTCTCTGGGCTCTTTGTTGGTTTGTTGCCATAGTGGTACCCAGTGCTGCACCAGGGACACAGGCAGGGAGCAGAGTGGGATGGAAGGGGTCAAGAAAATGCCACAGGGATCGACAGATCTTGTGTGGGCTGTGGGATGGGTGCAGAGCATCCCAGGGCAGCACATGGGGCTGGAAGGAGAGGAAGAGGGCTCAGAAGGGCTGTGGGTGGATGCAGCTCAGTGGGGTGTAGGAAACTCAGGAAGGAAAATCAGGGAGTGTCTGGAAAAGTGAGGTCCCTCAGCTTGACTCTGCGCAGACCTTTGGTCAGACACGTGTCGGGTTTGGACCTCATCAGCAAGGGGCACTGGGCTCACAGATCAGGGCAGAGGTGAAACGAGCTCAACATCCTTGTCCATCAAAACTGTCCACATCTCTTGATGGGAGGTGTGTGTGTGTTAGCTGAGCACAAGGGCCAAGCCCTGGGGGATGAGATGACTCCACTGCCCTTTAATCTGAGAGCCAGCAGTCAGAGGAGCCTGGTATTTTGGGAGCATTAGGTGTTGAAAACGCTCTTTAGAACTGGGAAAGATTTGGATTTCCTAGTCCAGATTCAAGAGAGTAGATTATTTGTCTTAAAGAAGCAGTTAGGGAAAAAGAAAAAAAAAAAAAAGAAAAAAAAAAAAAGAAAACAAAAAAAAAAAGAAAACAAAAAAAGAGATGGGAAATCTTCATGTTAGCCCCTCTGCTGAGATTAATTCCCCATTCTGCTCCTGCACCAGCTCCAGGCTGAACAGAACTGGTTCTTCCCCTTTGGAGCATCCAGCCTTGTGCTTCAGCCCTCTCCCATTGTGTGCCCCATTTCATTTCAGCCCCCCCACATTCACCCCATACTCTGCAGGACCTCTGGTTCTTCCATCCTGCCCAGGGACTGACCCGTGGTGATGGGGCAGGCAGGGGCACAGCGCCAGGCTCCGGGCAGGGTCACAATCAGAACTACTTTTGGAACACGGGGCTCCTTTTTGTCACTGTAATTTGGCCAGAACACTGAGGCTGAGAGAGGATGTGCCCCCAGGTATGTTTGTGTGATGGGGAACATCTCAGTGAGTCATCTGTGAATGAAGTGAGAACCCTCGCTGCTTTGTCCCTCACGAAGATGCTGGGGAAGAAAACCAGCCCGGAGTGGGACCCCAGGAAGGAGCCCACCCCATTGGAGCCCATTCAGTCCGGATCTCATCTCACAGCCCCGCACTCGGAGCGGGTTGAC